ATTGGCATAACATAGCTTATAAAGATATTGCTCTATATCTTACTTTGTTGAGTAGTGACTAGGGTCTTAAAAGCTTATGAGCATCCATCTAAAGTGCAACTGTTGGTCTCTACCCATCAATAGCACAGAAGAGTGAAGAAAATCAAAGGCACAAGGAAAATTCATCCAAAGAAGCACATGAATCATAGCATCCACCACATTTTGACCAGAAGAACTAATGATACCATCTACCACTGCTGACGATTGCTCTGAAAGGGATCACAATGGAAGGTCCTGGGCACATGGGAGAAAAATGTGGAACAAAACTCCAAATAAGGAAAGTGACCAGTCTTACTGGTTTGCTAGGCTGGCAGCAATCCTGAGACTATGGCTGTTAGATAAACCTTTCTAGATGTGAACTAAACTCAGCCTGTAGCTCAACCTTTAGCCAAAGAATAAGCAAATTCCAAACTCACTGCCATCGAGGTGCTACTGCCTCATAGGGACATTATAGGACAGGCTAGAACTGCCTCTGTGAGTTTCCGAGGAGACTAACTGTTTTAAGGAGTTGAAAGCCCCACATCTTTCTCCACCGGAACAGCTGGTGGTTCCGAATTGCTGACCTTGCAGTTGGCAGCCCAATGCCACTACCCATAAAACAATAGGTAGGCCTAAAAGGTGAACAATAACACCAGGGAGGTACACAGTCACCCATTTGAGATGAGAAGGGAGCAGTTGCCAGGAATAAAGCTCAGAAAGCAGGAATGGATAGGAAAGAAGGCCAAATGAAATAATAAATACCAGCAGGAAGGGAGAAGAGTGCTGTTACATTGTAGGGATTGCAATCAATATCACAAAACAAACTGTCCATGAATCGTTGAATGAAGATCAATCTGTTCTGTAAACTTTCACCCAAACCACATAAAAATGTTTGGGTTTTTTTTTGTTTTTAAAAAGTGAAAAGACATCCTACAGAATGGGAGAAAATATTTGAAACTCATATATCTCATAAACGCCTACTATCCAGAATATATAAAGCATTCCTACAACTCAACAACAAAAGAGCAACAATTCCATTTTTAAGTTGAGGGGGCGTTCTGAATAGACGCCTTACCAAGGAGCTTACCGCCTTCATCATGAAAGCAATGCACATTAAAATCACAGTGAAACCCCACTTCACTTCACAACTATTAAGATGGCTATCATACTAATTTTTCTAAACACTGAACATAAAGAGAAGCGTGTTAGTGTGGAGATATTGAAACCCTTGTACCTGTACCTTGCTACTTGGGAATGTAAACTGGTGCTCCGCTTAAAATAAACGCTTAAAAGAAGTAAAACAGACTTATAATGTGAATGAGCTCTTCCACTCTTAAATATGCACCATAAAGAATTAAAAGCAGATGCTCATATATTTGTACAGACATCTTTGTAGTAGCATTATTCACAGTAGCCAAAAGGTTGAAACAACCCAAATGCACATCAACATATGAATGGGTAAAAAATGGGGTATCGTCGTACAATGGAATGTTATTCTGCCATCCTAATATTTAATAAGAATAACAGGAGTGAAGCACTAATACACACTGCAAAGTGAGTGCACCTCAAAAGCAATAGGCTAAGTAAAGGAAGTCACAAAAGGTGTATGATTTCATTAATATGAACCATCTAGAATAGGTAAACCCAGAGAGACAGAAAGCAGATTCTGGGGAGAGAGGGAGGGGTGAGGAATGGCTGCTTCCTGGATATAATAAAAGCATTTTGGAATAAGGTAGAGGTGATGGTTGCACTGTGTTGTGACTGTGCTAAGTTTCACTGAATTGTATACTTTTAAAAGATCAATTTCATATTATGGGAATTTTACCACAATACAAGGGAAAACAGGGGTCTCAGCTAAGGCTCAAACTTGCTTTATTCTTTAGTGTTCCTCCTTCTCTTCCAACTTGCAGAAATTCCTTAAAGAAAGTTGTCCAGTTTCCCTTTGACCTTCTAATTCCAATTTCTTCTGTCACCATAGAAAAGTATTGTATCAAATCCTTCACACTGAAGTGTTAGTAACTTCAAGTGCTTACAGCTCTGTGACACCTTAGCTTTCTTCCTCTTAAAAAAAACAAAAACACATGCCCTTTTTTCAGGGACCAGGAGGAAGAGGACAATGTTTACATGAAAATAAATCAGTGGTTCTCAACCTTCCTAAGGCCACGACCCTATAATACATTTCCGCATGTTGTGGTGATCCCCGACCATGAGATTATTTTCATTGCTTCATAACTGCAATTTTGCTACTGTTATGAATCATAATGTAAATTTCTGAAATGCAGGATGTATTTTCACTGTTACAAATTGAACATAATTAAAAAGCATAGTTATTAAGCACAAAACAATATGTAATTATATATTGTGAAATATTTATGTGTTTTCCAATGATCTTAGGCGACCGCTGTGAAAGGGTCTTTCGACCCTAAAAGGGGTCGCGACCCACAGGTTGAGAACCGCTGAAATAAATAAAAATGATGGAAGACTTTTCCCCATGACCTACCCACCCATACACTGGCATCAAGGTGGTTCCGACGTATAGTGACCCTATAGAATAGAGAACTCATAAGCTCTCTAGATATTGACGGAAGCAGATTACCACATCTCTCTGCGGAGCAGCTGGTGGGGGTGAACTTTTCGGTTGGCAGTTGAGTGTTTAACCGCTGCCCCACTAGGGCTCCTCTATGACCTTCAAACTCATGGCCATGGAGAAAATTCCAACTCCTAATTACCCTATAGGACAGAATTGAACTGCGTCTTGGGGTTTATTAGGCTGTAAATCTTTACAGGAACAGAAAACCTCATCTTTCTCCCATGAAGTGGCTGCGGTTTACAGCCCAACACTTAACCCACTATGCTCCCCAGGGCTTCTTCCATGACATTCAATGGGGTAAATCTGGAGGAGGAGAGAACCCCTGCAGGAACACACAGTGTCCCAGTACCCACCAAGTGGCCACCCACCACCTGCTCCAATTTTCAGGTTAATTCTGCAACTCAAGCCTGAAAGATCTAGGAACAATTCTGAGAACTCCAGAACATCCTGTTGAACTCTCAGTAACTCTAATGAATGGAGTTGGAAACCCGGGCTTGCCACATTGCCTCTGCTTTTCCCGGCCCCTGGGGGGAATTCCCCAAGCAGAACAAAAGTCATTGTTTTATCCAAAGAAGCCCCAGGCCAGAAACTGCTTTTCTGTAGCTCTCCCACCACAAGTGCTGCCATCGCCAAGCTTACAGGAAATCCTTCCTCTTGAAAGTTCTACCAAGAGGAGTCTTGGTAGTGCAGTGGTTAAAGCACTCCATTGCTCAACCAAAATGTTGGAGGTTCAAATCCATCAGCCGTTTGCTATGTAAGAGAACAATGTGGCAGTCTGCTTCCACAAAGAGGTACAGTCTAGAAAACCCTATGGGGCTCAATTCTCCTCTGGCTACAGGGTAGCTATGTGTCAGGCTTGACTCCACAGCTATTGGTTTGGAATACACCACAAATTTGGATTCTTTGTTAGGCCTCTCTCCTGGGAGAAATACCTCTGCCCTTGGCTACTCGTGAGAAAGAATTCATGCCAAAGCCTGGTTTGTGATCCAAGAAGCGGCACAAAGGCGCGGGACCGAGGCCTGACCACACTGCACTGTGTGTCGGAGCCGCTGGGAGAGCGTGCCAGAGCAAACTTCTGGCTTTTCAGGCCCTCGCCTCCCTGCCCGCCACACCCCGTCCATACCCCTTTGAAAGGCGTGGTTGAAGATACGTGTAAACCATATTGGCTGAATCAAATTCACCTGGCCTAGATGGACCAATCCAGGTGTACCACCCACCTAGGTGTATCACCTCTCCCAGTCCAGGAGTTGGCACCTCACATCTTCTCTTATCCCGTAGTCTTGGGGCTTTGGGAGTGGGAGAAGAAGAGTGGGAATAAGAACTGTGTCTTGTGAGAGATCAAGAAAGGCTTGGGGCCCAAAGTTCTCTTGACTTAGGGGCTCCAACAAGAACACCGGAATCATTAATTCCTTCTGGGAACTTGCTGCCTCAATGCAGAGCTGTTGCTGCATTTCCTTTGTCTTAACTCCCCTTTCATTTGCCATTATCTCCCCTCTGAACAAGGAACACCAGTGGTGCAGTGGATTATGAGCTCCATTGCTAACCAGAAGGTCAGCAGTTCGAAGTCAGCAGCTACTCCACCAGAGAACGATGGGGCTTTTTTGTTCCTGTAAAGTGGAAACCCACAGGGGACGTTCTACTCTGCCCTCTAGGCTAGCTGTGTCACCGCTGTAGACTTGATGACAGTGAGTCTGGGTTTTATTGGGTGTTGGCTTCTGATATGCCTGCGCGCGCGCGCGCGCGCGCGCGCACACATACACACACACACATGCACTCGCACACATATGTATACAAACACACACAAAGTATGATTTTAAAAGATGAAAGGGTAATGTGAGGAAGTTGAGTCTGAGGTTGAAGTTTAGGTTGAAGCAAGACTCAGCGGGAGGCTTAGCCTGGGGCTAGCCCTTCAGATGCTCAATGAAAAGAGCCCAGATGCTCTTTGGGGTGGGGGAAGGTATGGAATTACTGGAGAAGGGGAAATTAACATTCATTCCACCTGTAGCTAAAAAGCGAATTTCTTCCTTTTCTTTCTATGTTAGGAAATAAACTACCTCAAAATGTTTCTGAAAGTGTGAGAGGGACTGGGTGAAGTGGGTAGCGGAGCATGAAAGGCGCATAACCAACATGAAGCGGAGAATTGACAACATTGTCCCCACCTCTACCTCATCCCCACCCAGATTTTGCCTCAAAGACACAGGTACCTCAAATCAGCAAAAAATAGCTGCAGACTGATGACTTCACATAGCTCCTTCAAGTGGAGATTCTTGAAGGTGGCTACATTCTTGAGGAAAATGCTTCTCTCTCCTTTTCCATTGTCCCCAGCGACATAGCCTTGACCCTTACTCACACAAAAAAAGAGCCTCTGGGGAAAGGGAAGTCCTTTCCTTACCATGTCCTTAAAGCCTCCGAGCACAGCGGCAGTGATGATGCCCAGGAACAGGCCGACAATGTTCAGGATGGTGGCAGACCAGAGCAGGTGGTACAGGTGGATGATGTCCTGGCAGCTGCTGACGTCGATGTACTCGTAGTACCCACCAGTGATTTCCACTCGGCTGGACGGAGAGAAGAGCCTAGTCAGTGCCCAGGGAATAGGCTGGTGCCTAGGGCTTCGGCTACTATGCAGGCTCAGCAGAAAGATAGGTGGCCAAGTGGAGATCTGTCAGAAGGGGCACGATAGCCATTTAACACTGACCCTAGATGACTTCATTGGCACTTGCTATGTGTCAGGCGCTGTGCTGACCTCTTGGTATGTGAATTCCTTGCATCCATGCTGTCCACAAGGGCAGCTACTAGCTGCCTGTGGCTATTGAAATGGAAGTCAGTAAAATTTAGAACTTCAAGTCCCTCGGTTTCCTCAGGCCCATTTCAGATGTGAAATACCTCACTACACGTGGCTAGGGGGCCTCTGCCGTGGGACAGTAGATGACAGAACACTTCCATCGTTGCAGAGAGTGTTATTGGACTTCATTGTCAATCCTCATTAGAGCTATGTGAGGTGGAAGCATCTGTTACTGTTCCCATTTGACAGTTGAGGAAAGTACAGCACAGAAAAGTTAAGGACTTTGCCCAAGTAGAAGTAGAGTTCTCAGGCTTCAAAGAGTTTAGTGTCTCCTCTCTTCAAAAAGAGCAAGACAAAACAAACCAAAAAAATCACCTCTAAGTGAAGAACACAAAAAAAAACTTTCACAACTGGATCAGTAAGCAACAGCACGATAAACGGAGAAAATGGGGAAACTGTCATTTTATTTGAATCCACAGTCAATTCTCATGAAAGCAAAAGTCAGGAAGTTAAACGACATATTGCACTGAACAAATTCTCTCTAAGCGACTTCTTGAAAGTGTTAAAAAGCAAAGATATTTTGAGGAGGAAGTTGTGTTAGGTAGTCGAGCGTAAGGCTGGGGCGTCCATAACGCGAGCTACGGAAACAAAGGAGCGGCACACTGCACATGCTCAGAGGTTCAGGTTTCCCACCAGGTACACGTGCATGGGCGCTGCACCTGGAGTGGCCCATCTAGGCCAGGTGAATTCAATTCAGCCAATGGAGTCAACCAGGGCCGTCCAGCATGCCTCCCCAGGGAATAATTGAAAAAGCAGGAGCCCGGAGTCGACCGCGTGACTTTGCAAGAAGCTTCTAGGAAAGCTGTACGTTTGTGAGGAGCCCTGTGGGTGCCTGTGTAAACCTGAAACTTTTTCTAACTCTCATAAAACTCACTTGGATCACAAACCAGGCTTTGGCGTGAATTCTTTCTCACGCGTAGCCAAGGACCGAGGTATATCTCTCCCCTGAGAGATCTAACAGTTGAACGCCATGGTATTTTCAAGCACTTCACATACATGCAAAAGCCGGGCAACAAATAAGGAAACCTGGCAAGAATGGATGCTTTTGAATTATGGTGTTGGTGAAAAATAATTTATAGAGTGGGGACTGCCAGTAGAATGAACAACTCTGTCTTGGAGAAAGTACAGTCAGAATGCTCCTTAGAAGTGAAGATGCCCAAAGTTTGTGTTTGGTAAAATAGAGGGTGGGGGATAAAGAAGAATCTCAACTAGATGAAGTGAACTATTGGCTGTACCAATAGTCCCAAACAGAAATGAGTGTGAGGATGGCGCAGGCGTGTCGTACATAGATGGGGTTGCTGGGAGTCAGAACGAACTCAGAGACACCCAAACAACACTTTAAGATGCCGCTCCTAAGTATGTATGAGTCTTGTATTGAGCATCTCCAATCACTTTGAATCACGCTAGGTCCTGGGGATGAAGCAGGGCAGATGCGCTGTGCCCAAAGAAGATACAGTTGTGCAAGGATGATCCCCTGAGAAGGGCAGGTCTGTGTATAAGGGTGGCTGTGGGGCTGGAAGGGTTACAAGAGGCGTTTGGAAGTCCTCTGACTTGTCCCAAAGTAGCTTTGCTATCTCCTAGTACGGCAGAAAGATGTGGCAGGCTGCTTCCATGAAGAGTATTCTTGTTGGTAGGTGCCCTGGAGTCAATTCTGACACTTTGTAGCCCAATGCACAAGAGAAGGAAACACTGTCCCATCCTGTGACATCTTCGCAATTGTTATGTTTAAGCCAATTGTTGCAGCCACTGTGCCAATCCATTTTTGCCAAGGGCCTTCTCTTTGGTGCTCCTCTGCTTTACCAAGCTCGATGTGCTTCTTCAGGAACCTGTCTCTCCTGACAACATGTCTCGCTATCCTTGCCTCCAAGAAGCACTCGGGCTACACTTCTTCCAAGACAGATCAGTTTTTCCTTTTAGCGGTCCATGGTACTTTCAATAGACTTTGCCAACACCACAGTTCAAATACATGGATTCTTCTTCGGTCTTTCCTATTCAATGTACACTGGCTTGGGTTAGTTGCACCTTGATCCTCAAAGTAACCTCCTTTCTTTTTAATACTTTAAATAGTATAGCCTTGGAAACCCTAGGAGCCCCTTCTACTCTGTTCTGCAGGGTCACTGTGAGCCAGAACTAACTATAGGGCAGTAGTTCTCAACCTGTGGGTCGGGACCCCTTTGGGGGTCGAATGCCCCTTTCATGGGGGTCACCTGATTGACAACAGTAGCAAAATGACAGTTATAAAGTAGCAACGAAAATAATTTTATGGTTGGCACTGTATTAAAGGGTTGTGGCATTCAGAAGGCTGAGAACCACTGCTCTAGGGCAAAGGGTTTGGTTTTTAGTTTGGTATCTCCTAATACACTGAGGGAGAGCAATACATATAGAATGGCAGTATAGCATAACGAACTTGAGTCAGACTGCTGTTGAAGCCTGGCTCTGTCACTTATTTGCTGTCTGACTCTGAGTAACCTTCTTAACCTCTCTGAGCCTTAGGAATTTAATAATAGAATGCATGAAAAGAGTGGCCCAGGACAATGTAAGAATAAAGCCTCCAATTGCCATTGTGTGAATTCCCTTATTGAAATATTGGAATCCTGTTCTTAAAGGTATTCGCATTTTAAAGGGACAGACTAGACTACAAGATGGAGATAGGCTAGTAGGCAGTTTAAACCTACTCAATAGTTTTCACGAATTTATCCTTGGTTTCAGGGTGTTCAAATAATAGAAAGTCTTCCCAACAGAACCATGCAGCCAGTGAAAGCTAATGCTGGATATTGTTCAGAGGGCAGCCAAGTAACTGGTTGGTGTCTGCTTGAGATTCATGATTCCGTCTGGTTCAGTCTCTTGGCTGATGTTGCTCTGAAATTCCATCGTCTGCATTCCCACTACTACCACCTGCAACACCTCAACCCTCCATGCCTACAATGCCCTCCTTAGCACTTCCAGATTCCAGAACCAAACCCAAGTCACTACCATCAAGTCGATTCCAACTCATAGTCTTCCTAAAATATTTGTTATGCCATTCCTTTCATCAAAGCTCTTTTCCTACATTCTCATTACCCTATGCAAAAAAGTAAAAGTTTCTCAGTCTGCATCCAAGATTGACCATAGTCTGGCCCCAAAATGGATTCCATACATCACTTCGGCTGAGGTCTTCAGGAAGTTCAAACATGCTGGGAATGGATAATTCTGAATGCAGATTTCTCCACCTGTTTGCAAGTGACTACTTTATGTTCTTTGCCTGTCTTCATCTCTCCCACAGCTCAAAACCGCAATAGCCACTCTTCTAGGGCCTTCTTCAAGGCCGCAGGTGTCCATCCACAGCCTCAGTCTCTCCCTCTGAGTTCGGCACTTGGCAGATGTCAAGTGACATTTAATTTAATCTAGCCAATCCAATACATACACTCAGCGCTGGATGCCGAGGTTACAAGCAGGCCTAAAGGAAGCATGATCTAGACTGCAACCTCTTAAAGACAAAGGTCATCTCTTACATTTCTTGTGTGTCTTCCTCACTGCTTAGCACAGTGACAGACATGCCAGAGGTCGTCAATCAATACATGGTGAATGAGTAACTGAGTTCAAAGCCTTATCGTTGCATTGATCGTGAAATCCGTTACTCAATATTCATGTTTGTCTCCTTCCTCTCAATTTGCTGAGTGGGCCTTAGGAAACTGATAACCTCTTTGTCCTCATTCAATAAACGAGGAGGCAGCAGGGCTTGGTGAAGGTAGGAGGGCACCCTCTGCTCTCCCATAGGAACCTGAAACCATTCACTTACCTTTGGTGGACAGGTGGTGGCAATGGGCAGCCAATGTACACATTTCTAGATGCAGGCATATATTTTGTATATCAGTCTAAGCCCCGTACTTCTTAACCTCACAGTAAATTGAATTTCTTAAAGATAAAGCTTTGTATTTTTTCCCGCTGAAGAACTTGTACATGGATCAAGAGGCAGTTGTGGGAACAGAACATGGGAATCCTGCATAGTTTAAAATCAGGAAAGGTGTGCTTCAGGGTTGCATCCTCTCACCACACTTATTCAAGCTGTATGCTGAGAAAATTATTGGAGAAGCTGATTTATACAAAAAATAATGTGGCATCAGGACAGGAGGCAAGCTTAACAACCTGCGATATGCAGATGACACAACCTTGCTTGCTGACAGTGAGGAGGACTTGAAGCACTTCCTGATGAAGATCAAGAACTTGGCCTTCAGTAGGGGTTATAACTCAGGGTAAAGACTAAAACCCTCACAACTGGACCAATAGGTAATATCATCCTAAATGGAGAAAAGGTTGAAGTTGACAATGCTTTTGTCTCATAGAAGCAGCAACCAAGAGAGAAAAAGATGTATTGCATTAGGTAAATCTGCTGCACAAGATGTCTTTAGAGTGCTGAAAAGCAAGGGTGTTACTTTCAGGACTAAAGTGTGCCTGGCCTGAGCCATGGTATTTTCGATTGCCTCATATTCATGTAAAAGTTGGACATTAAATAAGGAAAACCGAAGAAGAATTATCAATACGTTTGAATTATGGTGCTGGAGAAGAATCTTGAAAGTACCATGGAATGCTGAAAGGACAAACTGATCTGTCTTGGAAGAAGTGTGGCCAGAGTGCTGCTTAGAGGCCAGGATGACAAGACTTTGTCTTACATGCTTTGGATCTGTTGTCAGGAGAGACCAGTCCCTGGAGGTGGGCATTGTACTTGGTAGAGTGGAGGGGCAACGATAAAGAGGAAGACGGAACGGGCTGGATTGATACCTTGCCTGCAACGAAGGGCTCAGGAATAGGAACAGTTGCAAGGACGGCGCAGGACCAGGCAGTGGTTTTTGTTGTGCATGGGGTTGCCATGGCTTGGAGCCAAGTCTATGGCATCTAACAACAACATGTCTCTTTGATACGTATCCTTTCAGTGCCTACAACAGTATCTGGCACAGAGTAAGCACACCACCACCACCACCACCACCACACACACAACTGTTGTTGTCAAATCCATTCTGACCTGTGCAGACCCCCTGTGTGTCTGAGTAGAATTGCACAGTGCAAATGGTTTTTCACTTGACTGCTAACTTAAAGGTCGGTTATTTGTACTAACCCCCTCTCCCCCATTATTGCCAAAACGAAGGTCCAACGATCTACTTCTATTAAGATTACATCCAAAAATGCCCTGTGGAGAAGTTCTACTCTGTCCCAGGTCAGGGATTGAATCAATCTTACAGAAACTGTCTTACCAGGGCTTTCTTCCATGGCATCAGTGTGTCAATTTAAAGTGAAGACCTTTCAGTGAGGAGCTGTCGCCGCCGCCAAGCTGGCACACAGTAGGAGCACCAGGAAAGTTCTTCAGGGAATGAAAGCACGCTACCTTCTTTCAATTCCTCATCAGTTAAAGCACTTAGCCAACCACACCCATTTCCTTGATTTTCCATGCTGACATACAGTGATGTAGGCATGACCTCTCCAAGGATGAGTGAGTAGTAGCCCAAGGTACTCGGCAAGGCAACTGCCTGTCCTGGAGAAAGCCACCGTCCTGCGCAAGGCTCAATGAAAGAATCTATGTTCGCTATTAAAACCTCACCACCCGTGACGTCAATGAAGGTCTGTGGGTTCGAGGGGACAGTAGAAACTCTGTTTCCCTAGCACTGTGCAAATGACTGCCTGGTATTTGTGTTCCCCCTTGCCCCCAACCCGCCCCTCTTGGCCTCCTTTCCAGGAAATGGACTGGAGAAGCTGGCAATTGGTTAAAAATAGGCCTCCTGTTAGGGAAACAAATACACGCATGGCAAAACGAAGGGCTGTGAACCCCTGGAGTTCAGGTCTTTGGGCAGCGGGGTGGGGAGAGGCTGGAAAGATCCTCAAGTCAAGAGGGGGAAACGTTTCTCTCTATTAGGCGACTCTTCTTGCCTCAGAAAAGGCGAAGTGAAGCTTTTCCTGGTGGCTTTGCCTCTGGAGTCTGAGCGCCACAGACACAGAGGGAGGATGCTGACAGAGGCCAGACAACAGCAAACCGTTCCTGGACTGGAAGATCTTAAGTGGTGGGGGAGGAAGTGATGTGAGAACAGAGAAAAAGGCCATAGGGGGTGTACACAGGGAGGGCTTGCTGGGCACTTGTTGGGAGGTGAGGATGGGGGTAGTTCTACAAGGTGTGGTAGAAGGTTAGGGCAGAGCTGCAGGCAGAGGTCAGACTCCTCTCAGGTCCCCAAGACCCCTCCCAGGTATCCCATCCAATCCAATATTTTACCTTCCTCGTGAAAAAGAGAGAGAGAGAGAGTTCCCACTCCCCTCTTTTTCTCAGAAATGTCACCTCCTTTTCATCAGCATTTCACTCAGGCCTGGCCCTGTGCTGGGCCCTGGGTTATCGATAAGATGAAGGCATGTGCCCTATTCTTCAAAAGTCCCCTACTGTAAGCACAGTTTCTTGTAGAATTCCTTTCCAGCTTCCTCCAAAAACAATACTGGTATAAGTTGCTTTAAGAAAGAAAGCTAGTTATGAAGTATGGATTGGATGGGGAGGTAAATTGGGTTTAAGTCTCCACTTGCAGGAGAGAAAGAAAGTGCACCCCAAGGCGTAGTGATATGGCATTTAAAGTGGGATTGCGTTGATTTGAGTCCTTTTCAGGAACACACCTATTGCTGGGAGGAAGGTATGCTTGAGAGGAGGAAGCAGTCCTCAGGCTTTCAGGGGCCTCTTACATCCATCCATGGATCTTAGCCCCAGGAGGCAATGAAACAGGGCAGGAGAAGGCAACAGGCCGGAGGGAAGGAGGGGAGATGCCAGAAAGGACAAAGATGGCAAGAAAGAGGGGCAAAAACAGAAGGAGATTTTTTTAAAGATAGAAGGACAAGTGAAGACGAAAGATACCCAAATCGGCTCAATTCCTCCCCTTGGACCGATGTGACATTCCTTTGAACTGTTTTGGAAGGATGGATTGATGTAGGAAGCACAATTAAAGTCAGCTCTCAGTCCATACTGCTAAGGATGGAAGGCCTTACCAAGTGTTAGTTCTTATGGTAACATGAATAATTGAACCCCACCGATAATCCCCAATCCTCACTTAAGTCTTTAAATTGCTCCCCCTTTGAGGCTGAACCTTTTAAGGAGTTGAGAATGGTGTTAGCACAGTAGGAAAAGGGCTGGTGTGAGTTCTTACCTGCCTGCCTCCCACCCCTGCCCCAACCCGCTTGCCAAGTTTTAATCCTCAAACCAGAGAAACTGTCCTGGCCCCTAAATTCTAAGAGTAGGGCATGTGAGAGAGGAGGAGGCTGCATCCATTGGTCCTCCTCTGGATCGCCTTCCAGCTAGCCCTCCTCTGCCAGTGCTTCCTTCCTCTTTCCCTCCCCTGCCACGTGGTTCCCCTGCACTGAGAAAGTTAAGAAGCTCTGCGCTTGGGCAGGCCTTGGCCCACACCGCCCTCATGGAGGAGTGTTCTTGCATGCTCTGTATCACCTGTAAGCACATTCTTGTCGAACCCACATTCTAAACTGCTCTCCAACTGATTCCCCACTTTCCATGGCTTCTAAACCAACTTGATCTAGGCTCCGTCCTTTTGGGCCCGGACTTCTTCGATAGCCCAGTGACCAGACGTGCCCTTCAATGGCTTTCAGTGGCCTACAAGGTCAAGCCTATGGCTCATCCAATCCATGATCTGACCTCTGCCCACAGCTCTGCCCTCCACCTTCCCTTTTCACCACACCTTCTAGACCACCCCCCTCCTGAAACTGTGCAGCAGATCCTCCCCAGGTCCACTCCTTTGGGGTTTGTATCTCAGTACCCATGTCACCTCTCCCTTGATGCTTCCTACCTACCCCCCAAAATCTGACTTTCCATCATTTGGGACCCTGGCATCGTATTGCATCTACCAACTCACCACTGCATTTATTATACCACATGGCAACCAATCATGCACATCCACAACTTCCCTACTAGTCTGTGAGCTCAGTGACAATCTCTGGATTCCTAGGGCCCAAATATGCTTTGCAAGAAAGTACGAGCACATCATATTTTAGCGATCAGAAGGCATGGCCGGGGAGCGGTTGGAGCAGAACTGCCCTTGGAACCTTTGCAGTTGCTGTTCTGTTTGCTTGAAACACTTTCCTCAGGTACCAATTTGAGTTGCTTATTTGCTTTGCTCGAGTCTTTGTACAAATGTCACCTTCTCACTGAGGCCTATTCTGATTACTCTACCTAACAGAGCACCTCTCTCCGCCCCCCACCAGCCTCCCACCTCATCACTATCTACCAACCTTTCCTGCATCCTTGTTTGTAAAAGCTCTGATCACCACCTGACATTGCATTGTATATTCATGTGTTTATTGGTGGGCTCCCCGACTGAAATAAAAGCTCCAGAGGGAAAAAAAAACCCTGTGCTTATCTTTTTTGCGGATTGCCCGGGGTCTAGAAGAGGATCAGGCACAGAAAATGTGCCCAGTGACTACTTGTCGAATGCTGTTGAGCCTGGACTCCAACAGAATGAATTCTGATCCTACGTCTACAATATTCAAGCTCTTGGGCAAGTTGTCTGTTTCCTCTGAATCTCTCTCCTCATCTGTGAAATGAGGGTAGTGATTCTACACACTTCGTTGGTAAGAACTGAATGAGCTCAAATGTGTGAGCACGTTGCCTGACACACAGAAGGCAGGTAATGCATGTTGACTGGAGTGTGTCTTCTACGTCGCTGATTCCTGATGCTTGGCCCACCATCCCTTCTAGTTATGATTGTGGTCAAACCATTAGTCCTGCACCTGAGGCTCAACACTTACTTGCCACAGTTATAGAGGTCACAGCAGAAGCAGGTGTTGCCTCGGATGCGAGGAGTACAGAATCCTCGGCTGAGGTGAGGGCAGTTCACCTGAGGGCACAAAACAAGGAGGAGATGAGCAGGCTGTGGCTGGGCGACGGGACCCTCTGGGTTCGGAACGTTAAGTTAGCAGCTGATGGAGATAGTAAGCATGGCTGTGAAATGGCCACAAGAACCTGTGAGATGGATGGGGCTAGGTGGTGGTAATGGAGGTAGCTGGTGGCGCTTGTGTCTGAGGTGAGCCATTTTGTAGCTGGGCTTATGTTCAGCCTCAGCCCCATCCCTGAAGGATGGAGATAGAGAGGAGGAAGGACAGATGGAAGAACCAATGGGCAGTAAGAAATTATCAGAAGGTAGGGAAAGAGGATGAGGTCAGAAGGGAAAACAGAGGGGCCAAGGCATGCACTCGGAAGTACCATAGTACCTCTCTAGTTGCCTGGGTAAGGTTCCTCATAACCCTCGTGGAAGGAGAAATTTTGGTTGAGGAACTTATGACCTTATACAGGAAAAATAGGGTTAGGGGGGCCAGGGTTACAAGTGAGCCTGTGGAAGTTATTATTCACACTCTTACAGTTATCAAATTCACACAAGAGAACAATTCAAGATGAAACCAAGAGGAGAGCAATGACATTCTTTAGAGCTGGAATTGGTGAAAACCCTTAAAAAAAAAAACTTAATTGTTGTTTACCCTCTCATGTTGGCCATACATTTTTCCAGGCAGATGCAGTGAAGTACTGATAATTGTGGTTGGAGTGGTTTTGGGGAATATTTGTAGTCAACCAATACTTTATTAAATTTCTAAATTAGGACCTTTATCCAAATGCTCACTACCCTTCTGATAAGCTACTGACCACATACACATTTCCACTCCTCCCTTCTAACCTAAGAATAAAAACCAAAACCCAAACTCACTGCCACCAAGATAATGCGGACTCATAGAGACTCTATAGAACTGCCCCTTTGTGTTTTTGAGAATGTCAATGTTTATGAGAGTAGAAAAAAGCCCTGCCTTTCTCCCTCAGAGCTGCTGGTGGTTTTGAACTGCTGACCTTGTGGATCATAGCCCAGCGAGTCACCACTATACCACCAAGTCTCCTTAACCCAAGAATAGTTTCCCCCAAAATGATAAACCTGTGATTGACAGGGACAAAAAGAGTCAAGTGGATGGGAGAGCCATCCTAGTAGCATTTGTCATTGTGGCTTGGGGGAGCAAGGCCATCACCTTGTCTAGCCAACTCCAAGGGCACGATTCACATAGTATTTTATGAAAACTGACTTCCTTTAAGGTTGTGCAATGCAGTGGTCATTTCACACCCACTTGTCTCCCCTTTTTGCTCCCAATCCCAAGTCTATTAGTTTTCTGTGTTTGCTCAGGAGGACTAGCTTTCAGTGTGAGGCTAATGGAGTACCAAATTATCAAGGTTCCAGGAAACATCTGGTAGTGCTTCCTATAAAGGGACCAAGATTGGCAATTCAAACCCACCAGCTGTTCCACAGGATGAAACTTTCTCCTCCCATAGAGTTACAGTCCTGGAAGTTCTACCCTGTCCTATATGGTCACCATGAGTGCAAATCTACTTGATGGCAGTGAGTTTGGTTTTTTTGGTTTGGAATGAAACAAACAGACCAAACTCTCTGCCATCGAGTCTATGCTGACTCATAGTGACCCTATAGAACAGAGTTGAACTGCCCCGGAGGGTTTCCAAGATTATAGCTATGTACCATAGAAAAGCCTCGTCTTTCTCCCATGAACCAGCTGGTGGCTTCAAGCTGCTGACCTTGTGATTAGCAGTCCAACTCAGAACCACTCTGCCACCAGAGCTCCTGGTAATGGAACAAGTGCCCTCCAAAAATTACCTGGAGCCATGCCCTGGCTCACTGCCCATGGCCTCCAGTTGGGCCTGAAGTGACAGGCAACCCAAGGAGAACCCCGTGAGGCAGCGGAAAGAAACACCTTCCCACTCAAACGTAATTAAGCCAACCTCTTGGGGATCCACTAGAGGGGCCAGGATGTCTTCGGCCATTGATTGAGTCACTTCTGACTCCTAGCGACCCTATAGGACCGGGTAGAACAGTCCTGGTGGGTTTCTGAGATTGCAGGTTTTTGCAGGAGTAGAAAGTCTCATCTTTCAACCTTGCAGCAGCTGGTGGTTGCAAATTTCTGACCATTATGCCACCATGACTCCAAACTGGGCTAGGACTCTAAATGATCCTTGTTCACCCTCCAGAGCCCTCCCACATGTGGGATTCAGGCTCTGCCTCCCCAGTCCAGGCCACTGAACCATCATCCACAGGCCTGGGGGATGGGCATGTCCAACGGCCTCTGTACTTTTGTCTGCCCCTCTTGGGTTCAAAGCCATCCATCTGGGACAGAGAAGGCAGCTTTGGTAACAAAACCACGTCAATCTGACCATGCTTCTTGAGGATCTGACCTGTGAACATGGCCTGATGGACACTGTGCTCTGAGCCATGACCAAATCTGCCACAGCCGCAGGCCTGTGAAAAGGAGTCAACGAAAAGGGGGTTGAGGGCATAATGGGAGACTTTCTCAGGCGCCAAGGCACATGGTCTCTTTCAGGCTTACCTCTTCAGCTTCCTTCTGGGATGTTTTGGGGACATAGTGGCACCGGTTAGCATAGAGTGGCTTCAGATCCTAGAAAGAGAAATATCCAAACACATGGAATTGGGCTTAAACACACACACACACACACACAAACACACACACACCATAACATGCAGTACGTTGGGTTTATTTTTCAAAGTCTCCTGTCTAGGTGCCCAAGGTTCAGATCAGAAAACAAACAGCTTCCATAAAATGGTTTCCTATTGAGACAGTGAGAGGAGCCCGGGTAGGAATTTCCAGTCATTCTTTGGGAGAAAGACAGAGCTTCCTACTCCCATAAACAGTTACAGTCTTAGAAACTCATGGGGCAGTTCTACCAGGTCTTTCAGGATTATATGAATCGACATCGGCTTAATGACAATACGGTTTTAACTTTTTACTGAGCCATTTGGTTACTGAGAAATAGGGAAGTAGATTAAGAAATGGAGAGTTCCTCTCTGGTTGTCTTTGACTTCTACCCTTTGTCCCCTTGCAAAGAGTCTTCAGGGAACAAGATTCAAAGATCCAGGTTAGTGGGTATCACACTCCCAAAGGAGGGAGTCAAAGAAACTCCGTTCTGACAATGGGGTCACACCATCACCCGGGGACTGGACTGAAGCTGGCTGACATTGCACTCCCCACTGTCAGTTGTACAGCTTTGAAAAGAGGAAGAACCCCGGAAGCTGGCCCCATGGGGTTAGGCAGTTAGGGAGACTGTAGATTTGAACTCAACAGAGCCAGTGGACATTTTCACCCAAAAACACTGATTACAGAAAGATACTAAGCTCAAAAAACACTGTGGAAGCCCAGAAAACTAGCATAGACCTCAAAGACCATTGGTTCCCTCTGCTGACTTGGCCAGCTTCCTGATTAGGGTGTGCTCAGGCGTCGGGGCTGGGAGACAACAGACAGATTTAACCCAAGGCTCCCTGAAAGCTTGGAGGGAAGAGATGTTTGCACTTCCAGAGCTGATCGGAAGCATTCTCTGCGTATCAGGGGGTGACTGCAAAAGGTAGATTAAGACACAGAGTAAGTGGTTTATGCAAACTAACTGGATGAGATTTGACAGAAAGTTGATTCCAACTCTGTGGCTATAAAATTTTTACCAGAGCAAACAGCCCCATCTTTCTCCCACAGAATTGCTTCTGGGTTTGAACCACAGACATTATGATTAGCAGCCCAACGCTGACAGCACCCCCAGAAGACACTTCCAATAAATGAATTTGTTCCCATTGACTTTGACTGAGGCCAGTGTGACAAAATATGGAAATGTTGGCAAAATGAAAATCAAAGTCATTTCATATGCACTAGGATGATTAGAATAGAAAAGTCAGATAGTCATAAGGGTTGGTTAAGATGTGGAAAAATCAGAACCCTTGTACACTGCTGGTGGAAATTTAAAATAATGCAGTTTGAAGGTTCCAGAAATAAACATAAGGTTGCTATGTGGTTGCTGTGTGCCATCGAGTCAATTCTGACTCCTCGTGACCCTATGAGACAGAGTAGAACTGCCCCATAGGGTTTTCTATACTATTATCCTTATGGAAGTAGTCACTACACCTTTTCTTCTATGAAGCAGCTGGTGGGTTCGAAGCCTTGAGATTTTAGTTAGCTTATTTCATTAGAGTACTTACTTATTGCTACCAGGACTCCACAAAGTTAGTATATGACCCAGCTATTCCACTCCCAGGGATAAATCCCATAATGTATTCTCAAGATGAATTAAAACATATGTCCACAAAAAAGCTTGTACACAAATGTTCATAGCAGCATTCTTCATATCGCTCAAACAGTGAAGAAAACCCAGGGCTCATCAACTGATGAATGGATAAATAAAATGTGATATAGCCCCATAGAATGGAATATCATGTGCCAATTACAAAAGAATGGGTATTATATGACTCCATTTCCAAGAAAGATCAAGAATAGTGAATTCTATTATAAGGAAATGACAGGTTAGTGATTGTGTAGGGCTGGGAGTAACGGGAGTTTCACAGATACCCAGTGACTCTGTGACTTAGTTGTTGGGGATGCTAACCAGTGAAAGCTGTATCGTTCAAACCCATCAGCCACTCTGCAGGAGAAAGATGAGGCTGTCTGCTCGCACAAAGATGTGACAGTTTTGTAAATCTATATACGGTCTCTGAGTCAGAAGTGCCTCTGCGGCAGTAGGCTTTTGCTTTGTTTGCTGTTAAGTATCTGCATTGCACTGAGCGGTATCTCACTGTGCTGTACATAGGGTCGCTATGAGTCAGAACCAACTCAAAGGCAGCTAGCAACCACAAAGTGGAAAAGACATCATGCTCGCTAAAGTAGAGGGGCAGCAAACAAAGGAATAGCCTTGGCCAGGTGGATCGACACAGTGGCTGCAACAATGAGCTTAGACATCAGAATCATTGTCAGGATGGCACAGGACTGGGCACTGTTTTGTTCTGACTCCATGACACCTAACAACGACAGCAAAGTGGACATGTTGTTTTTCAGGGTCATGCAACTCTTCTAAGATTGGTTGCTGGAGATGATTGCACAGAAACCAGTGAATTGTGTATTTTAGAGTAGTGACTGGTATGGTGTGTCCACTCTTCCTTAAGTGCTTCTGTTTTTGTTTTTCAAGCATTTGAGTGGGGGGAAGAAGAAAAAGGAAGAAGCCATTTTAGCTCACGCCACCAAAATCTACTTTAGGCCTCTCGACCACTAGGCCCACGTTGCCATGGAGACTGCCTCCGAGTAAATACTGCTCGTCAAATGGGGATAATAATGCCTGCCCTACATATCTAATAGAGTTGCTATGGGTCTCAAATGAGATAATAGATGTGGAGGCACATTGAAAAGCTAAGTGCACTACACAAAAACAAGGACTGATTGTTATCAAGATGGCTCCTGCGGATTACCAAATAGCACGTGTATTATGATTGACTGCAACTATGCTGAGAGGGTAATATGAAAACATGAAAAGACTCGCTATGTTGTGGTGGTGAGATTATGGATTTCAAATGGACGGATGTGTTGTTTGCCTTCTTAAGAAGGTAAAGAAAAAGACAGTCGCAAACAGTTGAAGTCGGAAACTGTGAGTCTGCTGTAGGTGCTGACATTTATAAGCCTGGTCTTGAAAGAAAACCAGGCAACACATTTCTCTTCCTCACTTCTTTTGTCCTTTACCGAGGCATGATCTTCTAAAAAGGGCATTTCAAAGGCTGCTTGCTGTCCATGTGGATTCATCTTATCACAGCAAATGAGGTGTTCTACCTCTGTCGACACGTGTAGAGGAGGGTCCGTAAATAGGAGGGTTTGAACTGAAACAACAAGGTCTCAAATCGTCCTGCTGGAGATCCAGCCCAATTCCTCCATAACAACGCACCCTAATCAATTGTTTCAGAAAACATAGTTTCCAAGTCGTTCATGGGCTGGTTTCGTTTCAATTTGGTTTCTGCTTTTTTTTTTTTCTCTTTAAAAAGACCGTTTGGGTTTGCAGTGAAGGGGCTCAGCTAGCAGTTGTGGCTCAGGCTTCATGAGAGCCTTCCTTCTTTTAATTTAAATTTAAACTAAATTCTTATCATCTAATTTAAATTAAATTCTTTTAATTTAAAAATGTACATCATTTATGCTTGCATTGTTATAAAGATGAATATGTGTATAGTATCTATTAAAACTAGTTTCCATTGTTTTGCTTCTGATTTGAAAATAAATGATAACATCTTCGTAGGCCTCTGGATGTATTATAGGGCCCAGGCACTGTGTCTACTCTGCCTAATGGAGTGATTGGCCATGGGCCAAATGTCTGGAATAGTATGAAATGAAATGTTCCCAAGGAAGACCAACGACTCTGGGAGAGAGCTAAACAGGAGTGGCCTTAGGGTCAAATGGGAATGCTTTTAACACAGGTTTGAGCTTCAGGAGTAAAATGGTCCTTAAGAGCCTTATGATTGAGATACAAGAGGAGGGTCTTCTAGTTCTAGGACTTTCTCCAGATCCCCCATTGCTTCACTACTCTGCAGCTACTGTGGGAGGGCAGCAAAGTTGAGATGGTTCGGAAATATTGATTCTGTACTCATGTCAACTGGTTGCTCTTGGTGCTGCTGACGGTCACCCATCGAAGTCATCTAGGCTCTCAGGAAGTCATCTGGCTTCTGCTGCTCTCTCCCTTCCCTCTGCCCGTTCAGTATGCCCACTGAACAGCATACAGGTTCTGACTCCCAAGCCCTTTTGCTGGCCCGATTGCCCTTATGACTTTCTAACTATGACTTGTCCTTCAAAAGTGTCAACCCCACTGAGATGCCTTCCCTGACTTTTGGAACCCCCCCATAAACCATTATGTCAGCAGTCGTCTGCCAGCTCAGACTTGGTTCTCTTGATGTGCCCACCAGTGTCCTTTCTTATCTCACCAGCGGTCCTGTCCTAGCCCTCCTCTGTACCTGCAGAGCACATTGCACAGGGCTGCACATCCAGCACTCGCACAAGCCAGCCTCACTTTATTGCACATCCTCTTGATTCCAGGACTAAAAATACTCACGATGTGTCTGGCAGCAAAGACCCCGTCGACGATGGCACAACAAAAAGCTGCAATCACACCAAAGCTGATAAAGACGATAGAAGCCACCAGCTGCGAGGGAGTACAAAACAAAAAAGTGTCTGTTAGCCTTCCATTCGTGCTGTTTCGGGAAACAGGGCAATCCCTAAGAGATGACCAGCCCCAGGTGACTCTAGCCAGCGACCCTATGGAGGTACTCTTTGCAGTCCGTGGGAAGGCCCTGGGAGGCAGAGCCGAGGTCAATGAAGCACTTGTTCCATCTTCAGGGGGAGCTAGGAAAATTCACTCTGTGAGCACCAAGTGAAGAAGAGGCTTGCTGGCATCCAGAGAAGGCGCACTTGCCACGTGGTTCTTCCATCTTTAGGGAAATGTTGAACCTTTGACATCATGGAATTCAAGCCCCTATCTTCACTGTGTGGAAATGGAAGCATAGAGTGGGGGGAGTGGAAAAGCCTGGTGTCCACCAGCTCCAAAGCAATACTTCTCCCAGCCCCTCACTCTGCTACTTAATGGTGGGCCGTGATAGAGACAGCAAGGCTTTGGAGACCCTGTCCAACTCTCCATGGACTTCTCAATCACCAAAGGAAAAGACCTCTCAACTGATTAAGACTTCAATATCAAAAGCAAATTACACCCAGTGAGTTGTCTGAAAGTGGTCGGCTCTGTGTGGTATGCATGTCTATCACAAACGTTGATGTAGTAAGAAAAATGTTGACTTCATCCAGAGCACGGTATTCTCTGATCACATTAGACTATAGAAGCTTTCTTGTCATCTTCCCTATACACACGTGGGACTACAAACCAGTGTGGGGGGGGGATGTTTCCAAGAGCTGGGTTTGATGCTGACTGAGACTACCATCTGCACATATTGACCCTCAAAACAGGACAGAATCAGCACTTTTCATCCATGGAGTGTTTGGGGAAAGAATTGGGCTGGGAGGAGTGACATATATCAGCAAGTTGCTCTCCAGGGAGGAGAAAATCAACCACCACCACCCCCCCAC